TAAATATCGAGTCAAGGACATGTAACGTTGAGGCGAGCAAAGGGTTAAACTGATTACAGTGATGTTGATACAGTATGGATGGCGTATGTAGGAGCAGCTGACTTTCTGTCGGGGATAAAACTACCTTGGCACGACACCCGTCTTTGTTGTCCTCTCTCACGTGCGGCCGCGCGCAGCAGATGCTACGTGTTCCGTAGGCAGGTTATAGGTAACGGAGGGAGGGAATAACGGCAAGCTCATCAGACATTTGCTAAAAATAAACATTGGTCACGAGTCCCGCACCTCCAGTCCGAGTCGAGTCTGAAGTTTGAAGTGAGAATTTATGAGAATAAAGTACAGCAGCGTCACCAGCAGAAATTCAGGCCGTGTAAAAGTGTGTCTGTACTCAGGAACAAAAATCAACTTGAGAAAGTCGCGTCTCCTATCACCGCTTACACAGTTGTGGAAAATACAAAGTGCTGGCTGCTCTTAGGTCTACTTATACCTGAGGGGGCCGCGCCGGCTGCGGTACCAGGGGTGATGATGATGGAAGGAATAAAAGATTTGGAGTAGCCTAACGATTACAAAATGTTTGGATACATGTTTGTATGATTGCTTTTATTTTATTATATTTTCACATGTATATCTGTGGGTAAATGCTCATGTGTAGCCTACATGTAATTTATTACAGCCACTCGATACCGAAAGTTAAGTTAGTTACAATATCGCAAATATAACCACTGCTGACCTGTAGACCATTGCTGACCTGTAGACTGCTGACCTGTAGACCACTGCTGACCTGTAGACCACTACTGACCTGCAGACCACTGCTGACCTGTAGACCACTACTGACCTGTAGACCACTGCTGTCCTGTAGACCACTGCTGACCTGTAGACCACTTCAGACCTGTAGACCACTACTGACCTGTAGACCACTGCTGACCTGTAGACCACTGCTGACTGAATGAATGGAAGGATGTACAACAGCATTACCAGGGACTGTGTGACCTTTGGTTTTCACTGACAACAACATTATGTGGGGACTGATATTGTTTAGAGATGAGCAGCTATTACAGAGATCGGGAATATTAATGCCGTTCACATGATCAACACTGGTGTTTTCCTTTACCTCAAGTAAACGCAGCTAAAGTTCAGCAAGTCACTAACAATAACTTACAGTTTCAGTGTGTGTGTGTGTGTGTAGTAACGTTGCTCGGCAACTAGGCAGAGCATCGATGAAACACAGCCTCCCTCAGGGTCCTAGTGCCCGACCACAGTAGGGATTTAAATTGTGAAGCAGAGGAAACAACCAGAAGGATTATTTTAAGCCAATAAGTACGATTTACATTTTGATTATTCTAATACTTCTCTTTGCTTCTCTTTGTTGATGTCTACACTGTCAAAAAATCTAAATCTAATAATTATCTGTCTTAATATTATTAGCTTTAGCTCCCCTAAAATAGGCCTAACGACGTCCAAGGTAACCAGGAAGACGGGGAATAGGACCCAGATGGAGACTCATACTCACAGTGGTGACTGACTCCGTACTAACACCCTTTTTATTTGTCACCCGTCTGTGTAGTTACACATTCAATAGTTCTGGACATTTTAGGCCGATAAGCAAAAAAATAAATAAATCACATAAAGGATTCAGTATTGACCCCCCATCATTTAATCCGTGCAGAGATGAACCAGCATTTAGACCAATGTTTTATTTCTACAATCACCACTGATGTAAATGATGAAAGACCAAAAAAAACTGGAGAGGATTTCTCAGGAAGCTGGACGACCACAAAGCTACTTCACACATTTCAGCTCAAACACATCATCACCAGCTAAAGCAGAACACACTATAGTGAGAAAGCACCAGCTTCACACCACAGCAGGAGGAAGCTGCTGCTGTGCTGTGATGCACACAGTGTCACGATCTGGCTCTTGGACCGTGACAAATATGGAGACACACCAAGGTTATTATAGTTTTGGATTTTACGTTAGTTTTTATTTTTAGTTCGTTTTGACTTTTTGAATTCAATTTCAGTTTAGTTTTAATTAGTTTTTAAGGTTAATTTCCTTGTTTAGTGGAGGTGATGGACAGCTAAGAAACTGGAAGATAGTGGAGCCACAAACGACAGGTCCCTAGGACCCTGAAGGTAAGTATGACTGGAAAGCAGTTGGGCTATATTAAAATGTGAACCTATATTAATCAAAAAATTGATTCTATTAAAAGCACGAAGAGACAGTTTGGCTGAGATATAGATATAACACACTAGCTGACATGCAGTAAATATCACCAGCAGACACGTTAACCCAGCGCAAGGGGAGCTCACAATCAATGAAGGCTACTAGGGGCAAGTTCATCTCACATGCAGGATGAGCTCTACGCCAGACCATCAGAACAGAACAAGGAAAAGAAAACCACCAAGACACTGACTCTGTCTGACACAGCTCTGGACAGTTGTTGCATTCATATTATTTTGTACAAATGTTGGCTATGCATAAAAGATAGAAAACATGTTAAAATCACACCAACTACCAGTCGATCGCTACCTGGGTCTCCCCGGCTAAGTTAGCCTCCCTCTAACGTCACATGGGGCTCTCCTCCTAACAGCGGTCGTCAGCTGCGACCGGACGCCGCCCTGACCCCGGGCTCTTTTGAAGGATAAAGCAATCGTGGCAGGTCAGCCACACGACACGTAGCGTGCCAGCTCTTCACGCGGAGGAGAAAAGCAAAACACCTGCGGCCCACCAACAGGTGCCTATCGGACTTTGCTATTAGCTAATCACTGTCCGATAGGCACCTGGAACTCAAAAGTTATCGATCAGGTCAGTTTGAGCTGCAGAAACGTATCTTTGGTCTTCTGAGCATCACCTCAAGACAAACCACAGTCCTGTTCTTTGTTTTCTTTTTTTACTCTGATGTGTTTACAGACACCAGGTACCACATACAGGGACCACGAATAGGGACCACGTGCAGGGACCACCCACAGCTACAGGTACCACATACAGGGACCACATATAGGGACCACGTACAGGGACCACCCACAGCTACAGGTACCACATACAGGGACCACATATAGGGACCACGTACAGGGACCACGCCCCCCTCTTCTGCTAATATTGTAGGTGGGTTTTTTCTCCCGCCAGGCTTTTTGAAGGCTGCGGCAGACACGCAGAGGACAGACACAGAGTTCCAGAGAGACGTCAGAAGGAGGAAGTCGCCGCAGAGCTGAGAAAACCTTCGGGGTAAAAGAAGCAGGTTGACCGACGTGGCGAGAAGAGAGGAAGACACCGTGACCCGACAGGGGAAGAGAGCTGCTGGCTTGGATCCACGTAGAAGGGGACGTCTTTGTGAAACACGAGGAGACGCAGGGACACGTTCCACCCTCCTTTCAGATCCTCTCCTACGCTCTTCTCCCGTCTCATTGTTTGCAAGATGTGCTTTGTTGTAAGAATTACAGACTACTTCCTTGTTTTCCTTCCTTCTTTTTAATCGGACCATAATCAAACTCTTACCCGGATGTAAAGAGGGGTCCATGTTAGTTAAAAACTCTCTGGTCCTACTCTGCTATGTGTCAGCTTCATAGCAGACTTGTAGGATTTATCCTTTATCACTTCTGCATGTTTACTGTAGTTTTTATTAGTCGGGGTGTTTTGGGGATCATTAATCCAGTTTTACCTGTCTACAGTGAACGTCTCATTATCCAGGGTTGCTGTTTTTTTGTCTCACTGAGCAGCTGAAAAGGAGGACCGTGGCCCCGGAGGAACCCTGAACTGAGCGCCGTGGCTCTGTGAAACTCTGAGAACGAACTGAGTGTCAACAGCAGCAGGACTGAGTATTTAACTTTGTCCTTATTTAAGACAAACAGAGCCATTTTAAGAGACTCAGATTTGAACTGTTTTCTACTGCACATTTTAACTTGCTGAATTATTAAAGATTTTGTTTTAAACTTTAAATCCTGGTCTGAGACTGTAAATGCTGATTTGGTCCAGCCTGTTCCCCAGCAGAAGCTTTAGGCAAGCATTGATAGAAACATCTGAACCCGGTCTCATGACCTGCGTCACATCTCTATAAAGTATCAGTCTGGTAAAATTCTCTCTCTATGTTTTTATTCTTGTCATCAATTAAACCATGTACAGAATCAATGTTACACAAACATTAAAATCACCAAGTATGTAACAGACGATAAAGTTAAAGGGGACAGAGTATAACTTAATGTAATTATTAATCACAATAAACAGATCAATAGTAAAGTTTTGGAAAACATTTAACAAGGAAACAGAACCCACATTTTTTGATATATCGTACGTATCCAGAGTATTCAGAGACACTATCTGCACGTTTATAAACTATTTACCCATTTTAACAGGCCTGCAGTGAAACGGCCAAATTCAGCACACAATTGGGCAAGACACCGAATTCTTGAGCCGGGGATCGATAGCCAATCTTTGGATTGGTGGACGACCCGCTCCACCTCTAAGTTCTCTCTTTTCAAAACAAATGGATAGTTAGCTTTGAAAAGCACCAACCCTGGCAGGATGCACATTAAAGAGAAAGCAACACATTTACTGACAGAACAGAATGAAAACAGCAATCAGGAAATACAATCATACATGTTTACTATACTATACTTAACAAAAACTACAAAGGTCTAAAACTGTGTAGACTATTAAAAAACAGGAAATGTTTCAATGTATTGACACAAAGTGTAAACAACAATAAACACAGTGAATACAGTAAACACAATAAAATACTAATAAATAAATAAATAAAACTTTGCCTGATCTATCCAGGATTGAAGTTCTGGAATAAACAGGTGTTTTGATGACATCATCTTGGACTTTTCAGCAATGTGCATGTTTTAACATTTTATTTATGAAGCGAGTAATCAAGAAAATACTTGGCTAATTAATGGACAGTGGGAAAATAATCCTTTGTCGCAACGCTGGTTGAGTAGCGCTATAATTCTTTTTAACATTTAACTACTAAATTTAAAAAACTACATGAATAAAGAAACGGTTAATTAACAGATATGTAACTAATTTACTTAAAGAGGATACAAGTTAATAATTCTCTGAAAATAAAAATCCAAGTGGATCAGGAATCAATAAAACAGAGTGACTCAGTAGAAACAGCTAGCCTGGCTCTGACCCACTTCTTCCAGGACCCTCCCTCCAGCAGAGGGGTGAGGGTGGGAGGCATGGCCTCATTGTGTGCTCCGACAACAGGATTTTGTGGAGAGGAGGAGCAGGACAGTATGTAGTCGCAGCCACGATACATGCTGCTCAGAATATAAAGTTACTGTTGTCTCTCGCTCAGTTTGTAGAGAAGCTCAGTATATAACAACCCAGCTATCAGGACATGAGGAGGAGGCAGGAGGAAACAGCTAGCTTGGCTCTGAAAAATGTTCACAGCGAAGCAACGCGTGACTGCGATGGTGGACTTTAAGGTGACTACTCTGAGAAAACAATTTACCACATTGTTCACACCAGTATGGTTTCTCTCCAGTGTGAACACGTCTGTGAGTTTGTAGGTGACATAATGTAATGAACGCCTTCCCACATTGGTCACAGCTGTACGGTTTCTCTCTAGTGTGAACACGTAGTTGGATTTTTAGTTCACCTAATGTAATGAACGCCTTCCCACACTGGTCACAGCTGTACGGTTTCTCTCCAGTGTGAACACGTTCATGGATTTTTAGTTTAGATGATTGAGTGAAAGCTTTCCCACACTGGTCACAGCTGTACGGTTTCTCTCCAGTGTGAACACGTTCATGGATTTTTAGTTTAGATGATTGAGTGAAAGCTTTCCCACACTGGTCACAGCTGTACGGTTTCTCTCCAGTGTGAACACGTTCATGGATTTTTAGTTTAGATGATTGAGTGAAAGCTTTCCCACACTGGTCACAGCTGTATGGTTTCTCTCCAGTGTGAATTTGTTGGTGGACTTTTAGGTTACCTGATTTAGTGAAAGCTTTCCCACACTGGTCACAGCTGTACGGTTTCTCTCCAGTGTGAACTCTCTGATGAATCTTTAAAGATCCAGATGTTGTGAAGGATTTGTCACAGTGCTGACAGTGGTGACGTTTGAGTCCATCTCTTCTTCTCCGTTTCTATAGAAACAGAGTTAGAGAGAAAGAAAGACAGTGAGTGAGATGTCATGGTGGAGCGAGCTATCTAGAACCATAAATGACATTTAGCATGTCTGTGGAACAAAACCCACAACGTTCAAGTTTGATTAATGCATTACCACCTGTGACAACCAACTGCAGGGTTGTGTCCACAGAGGGGCCTGGGGTGGCACAGACCTCTATAGGAATCTGACTGATCATCACAGATTAACCCATAACATTTCTCAATCATCTTAGCTACTACCTTCTTCACAGCTCTCTGTGACTCCGTTTCATTCCGTCATCTGCAGGCTGTATTTTCCAAAGTAAAGGTTTAGATTTTGTTGATTTGGTAAACAGGGTTTGTTTTTTTGTGATTTCCTGTCAGGTTTGATCTGCTCTGTGCTGCTTGACGCGCCATCCGTTAAAAATAGACCTGCTACCTTTTCTCTGCTGAGCGGAGGAAAGCCTGGGACGCTTCAGGGACGGGCTGGGGCCCTGTCTGGTGGACTCACAAGCATTGACCTGAAAGTGTCGCGATTTTCTCCAGCAACCACGACGCAGCTGGAGTCAGTGGACTTTAGACTTTACACACTCATGACCACCGTTCTCTCCCCCATCAGATTCTCCCTCACTCGTGTCATTGCCAAAACTTCTTTGATGCTGTTCTGCTTCTATCTATCAAATAGTTCTAGCTTGTGAAATGACAGTCTGCTTAAACAATCGGTGTAACTTGAGCATAATCGTTACCGGAGATGAGACAGCTATTCATTAATCCCTCGTCACAGTAAACTGTGAGCGGCGTCAGCCTGGTGTTTAGTGTGGCCATTGTTTCTGATTTTATTCTGAACAAAAACTCAACTGTGGTTGGGAATACTTATTTGTTGTATGTTTTGTGGCTCGATAACATCAGACGTGCTTTAGTCACAGAGAGACCTCTGCTTTGTTTTGGAACCAACAAAACCGACTGCAGCTGATATTACTGTAAATATTACTATAACATTGCAGTGGGAGTTTACCGGTCTATCTATAGCCGCTGTCACTTTTTCTTCCTGGTAGTATTGTGTCAATATGCCGGCTCTCTGCTCAATACGACAGGTAACATCACAGAGCCAGAAAGGACTCTGAGCCGGGAACGTTGGTTGAGCTGGAACATGTCTGTGTGAAAAGCTACAGCCACTCTGACCACACCATGGTTCACTTGATTCCTGCTTACAGACAAAAGCTAAAACTGTGTAAACCTGTAGTGAGGACATCAAAGCAGTGGACAAGTGAAGCTGTAGAGAACCTCCAGGCGTGTTTGGACACCACTGACTGGGATGGTTCCAGCACTGCTACCAACAGTCCACTATCTCATCCCCCACCTCCTCCCTTTCGCTTACCATCCTGGAGACGGATTTCAACAGAGTGTTCAGGAGGCAGAAACCTCGCAAAGCAGCTGGGCCGGACTCCCCAATCACCCTAAAGCACTGTCCTTATCAGCTTTCTCCGTTGTTTACTGATATTTTTAACACCTCACTGGAGACATGCCATGTGCCAGCCTGCTTCAAAGCCTCCACCATCATTCCTGTCCCCACGGATCACAGGGCTAAACAACTACAGACCCGTTACCCTGACATCAGTGGTTATGAAGTCCTTTGAGCGTCCTGTGCTGTCCCACCTAAAATCCATCACTGACCCACTCCTGGACCCCCTGCAGTTCACCTACAGAGCCAAAAGGTCTGTAGATGATGCAGTAAACATGGCCCTTCACTACATCCTCCAGCAGGAACTCCCAAGGAACCTATACCTTTCAGCACCCTCATCCCGGCCCTGCTGCAGGACAAGCTCTCCCAGGTGAGCATGTTTGACTCCACCTGCAGGTGGATCACAGACCTCCTGATCGACAGGAAGCAGCATGTTAAGTTGGACAAACATGTCTCCAGGACCATCAGCACCGGTTCCCCTCAGGGCTGCGTTCTTTCCCCTCTGCATTTCTCCCTATACACCAACAGCTGCACCTCCAGTCACCGGTCCGTCAAGCTCCTGAAGTTTGCGGATGACACCACCCTCATTGTGGGGACGAGTCCGCCTACAGGTGGGAGATCGTTCATCTGGTGACCTGGTACAGCCAGAACAGTCTCGAGCTCAACGCTCTGAAGACAGTGGAGATAGTCGTGGACTTCAGGAAGAGCCCAGCCCCACCCTCCCCCATCATCCTGCGTGACTCCGCAGTCACCACTGTGGACTCCTTCCCCTTCCTGGGCACCATCATCTCCCGGGACCTCAAGCGGGACCTAAACATCACCTCCATCACCAAGAAGGCCCAGCAATGGATGTACTTCCTGCGGCAACTAAAGAAGTTCAGTCCGCCAAAGACAATGATGGTGCACTTCTACACCGCCATCATTGAGTCCATCCTCACCTCCTCCATCACCATCTGGTACGCTGCTACCACTGCCAGGGACAAGGGCAGGCTGCAGCGCATCATCCGCTCTGAAGAGAAGGTGATTGGCTGCAATCTTCCTTCTCTTCAGGACCTGTACGCCTCCAGCACTCTGAGGCGTGCAGGAAAGACTGCAGCTGACTCGTCCCACCCCGGACACAAACTGTTTCAGACACTCTCCTCAGGCAGGAGGCTGCGGTCCATCAGGACCAAAACCTCTGGCCACGAGAACAGCTTCTTCCCGATGGCCCTCATCAAGGTCCAGGTCCCCACTGTCAGTGACTCTCATGCCTCCCTCCCCAAACACACACACACATAAACATTCCTGACACACTTTACAACAACCCTCAACTGTGCTTTATGCTCATGTTGTGAATTGTTGCACATACTTTCCAGCATTGTATTATAGTAATTTTTGATCTCCTTACTTTTCATATATTTATATTTCTATTCATGTCCAAGTGTACTGTAAGCACCAATTAAGGCAAATTCCTCATATGTGATTCTAATTCTGATAAGGGCAATTCAAATTATACCACGGCACACAGGAAACAAAAGCCAGGAGGCTCGACCGCGCTGCGGCACATCCATCAAACAATTCACCCAATTTAACCCCAAAACTCCCAAGGTCCCATCAGTCCCAAAAGTTCATCCACTTAGCTTAAATTTTCTCATAGCAAATAAATCCCGCCTTAGCGGAAAAGCAAAAATGCTACCAGGTGGAAGCTCAGTGAGTCGTCATTAACCCTCAAAGGCAAAGAAGAACAAGGGAGGCAAGAAATAACATTATTAATAGTCCATATTACAACCCGTGTCCACATAACAGGCCTGTGATACAATGTACAGAGTAATAACCACACACACGTTTACCAACACAGCTGTTATATTTGAAGGTCGTCTTGGTGACTTTTACAAATTCGTGATGAGCCGATGACGCTCGATCCTTCCTGTGACAGCAGAGCAGCCAGCAATGTTATCAATATGTAGGTCGGGCTGACTACTGTGTGTATTTTAATTTAGCTTCATTTACATTTACTGGTTTGACAATAATATGCACTCTACAGTAAATTATAGAAATTCGAGATACTCAATGCAACATCGGTTAACAACTTTTAGGTCTGTTACCTAGCAACCGAAGCCACTTTTCTGATTTTGCCGAGCTAAACGTCTTTTAATCGCTGTTTTTGGTAGTTTTTTAAAGAAATGATACTGATTGAAAATGGAGCAGAAACAACAACTATCACTGAACTTCAAGTCAGATGACTTAGAGGTGTTTGTAACCCCCGTCAAGAAATCCAAATCCACATAACGCTTAACTCGGGAGATTACAGATAGAGAGGAGGCTAAAATAACGGACCCAGTCACCGCCGCATATCCGGCATCCAGCGGAGCGTTGATGCTGCTAAAAAGAAAATAAGTCCATTTACAGTGATACGAAGACACAGGCAGCTGTTGTGTCCAAAGAGCAGAGAAAAGCCGCTGGTCGCTCCCCCCTCACCGACCCCGGCAGAAACCCGTAAGGCTACTCTTCTCAGTAAAGGGTACCAAATGAAAGGTCTGCTCAAGCCGGATCGATTGATGTAATATCCATGTAGTCTGTAATAGTAAAATAAATATATTAATATACAATGGATTTCTATTCCTTAGCTTCTGACTTTTCAAAGGAGACCAGAATTATGCCTCTAGGCCAAATGGTCGAGGAGTTATTCCTGATTCATTTGTGGTGCGTTATTTTAGGCGTTTTTTCTAGAAAAAGGTGATTGTTTTCAACAGGTTAGGAGCGTTTATTTAAGATTTTACAAAGTTAGGATGCTTCTATAATACACTTTTCTTATCTAAAGTTAGGAAAGGAACATTAACTTAGGAACTGTTAATCTGTAATGGCTTTTTTCATAATTCAGTTCCTAACCCTTATTACCATGGTAACCAAGCAGTTAGGATAGGATCTGCTGGTTAGGAAGTTTCTGTAATACGACCCCTGCTCTTCAAAGATAGTTTGTTTATTACTTAAAAACAGTCCCGACATCAGAATGTAATTATAGCTTATATTTTATTAGCTTTTGGATATTACATTTTGTTATTTATTAACTTTTACAATAATTTGCATTATATTATAAGCACAGCGTAGTTTACTTTAGCTTGTAATAAAATGTATTAGTATGAAAACTCAGATGTTACCTTTTAGTCTGGGTGGAAGATTACGGAGGCGTTTTTAAATGATGAGCATCGACAACCACTGACAAAACAAGCCAAGACAAAATATTACAGCTAAGCATTTCATACATTTAGTGGAACCTGTTAATGAGGCCTGATGGTAACAATATAATCTGTTGTCCATGCCTGGCCTGGTAAAGTGTAAAGTTTTACTCTTTGTTTGAGACTTTCTGTCTGTGTTGCAGAAATAACAGCTACACAATTTAATACCAAACACGTGTAACTAGTTTCAGTCACATTTTGAACACGCCGGCTTAAAAGAGATTTCTCTGATACAGACAGAAATGTCAAAAACGTTACAACCATCCCCGATCTCCCCTAAATATAAAGACGCAGACTCATTCAGATCA